GAGTCCAGCAGTTGACGCACCCACTGAGCACACATATTTTTGTTGTAATTGCCTCTTAAAAAGGAGAAATCTATCAAGGAATTCTTCGTCATAGCGCCGACTAGGTGTAGATTCTGACCCTTAGTATTCGCCATGGTACATTGCGCCCGAGTACCACGAAGTGAGCGCCCCCTGGTGCGCCCGCAGAAAAGGTTGAAATTCGTTTCATCTATCCACACTGGTTGTCTTCCTTCTGCCTCCAAATTCATCAGCTGCAGTACGAATGATTTCCGTCGCCTCTTGTTCTCTAACGTGTTCAGAGACTCCGGAATAGCGTGCAACTTCTTCATGGTTATTAATCGGCCGTCTAAGTACCTGGCGACCGTGCTGGTGCATACCTCAAATTCAAACTCCGCTTTCAACCGCAATCGAAGAGCTTCAAGGGTTATTGTTGGCTCCGCAGAGACCCACTCAACCAGAGCGTCCACATGACTATCTGCCAACGCTCTGCGACGAACCCCTCCATGCTGTCCCCTAGGTTCGGTTGACTCCCACATACGAATCCAGCTGCGGCAGGTTTTCACGTTTACGTTAAGCACACTAGCAACCTGCTTCCAATCCGCTCCCTCCTCATACGTTTTCATTATTCTGCTCTTCACTTCCATGGAATGGTGAGCATACGGTCCTCTTCGTGCCATCGCTTCTCGGTAAACTGCGCGTTCACAGTCTTATTGATAATTTATCTCTCTACGTCTCATGTTCCAAGCCCCCTCCCCCAAAATTGCCTGTGTATTGGGCTCGACCGTTTGCCTCTGTCCTATCTCGCGAAACTGGCTGTCTCATTGACCCAAAGCTGGTCAGCTGTTTGCGGTCAGTCATCTGCCTGTCGGCGTTGCCTATTCGTCATCGCAGCAAGACCCCGGTGTGCAGGTGATTTTTCCTTGTGGTCACGGAACATAGCTGTCCCCCTACGGTGACTTGTGATACATAATGGCTACGGACTGTGAAGTGTACGAACCGCATAGGCTGTGGAGCCAGGTGTTAATCCGTGAGGGGGTGTATATCACCCTGGCCTCCAGGGGCAAGGAACGCAGGAATCCAACTGATGGTATTTCGTTCCCTCCTGCAGCACACCGGTTAGACTCGTAATCTCGGTTTCATCAGTGGTGTTAACCAAACCTGTAAGGTAGATGGAAGCGGACGATGTAACGCAACCTCCAGATCGAATGCGGTTGATAACGACCCCACCACACAAACCTAGTGTTTGAAAGGACACTGCAGGGAGTCCAGATTTCGGTTAAGATTGCCACCAGCATCGGAACACACCATAGGATAATGATGCTAGGTGAATTCAGTGTGGCAAGTATGATGTATGCGGTTAGGCGACGCGCTTTACTCTTCAGTTGCGTCTGCTCATTTGATAACTAGCAGGCTGGTCTTTCCGTCGTTTTACCAGTAACCGAAAGCACGTTAAGAAGTTGCGGTTCGGCTGCAACTCATTTCTACTTGTGCAAGTGAAGCGTATCACACTAATAACTTCATGAAAAAAGGTGGCTTCTGTAGTCATATTAAAATGTGACCGCACAGCGGATAAGGCACCTGCAACTGACCTGTTTACGCTCCCTTCTGATGGGGGAGGGCCGGAACCTGTAACGATTCTAGTACATACAAGCGCGTGATCAGAAGTGAGCTAAGTACTTCAACTTGATCTGCTGTCCCATCAACAGCCTCGTCAATGGTAATCGATCACCATGTGGTCAGTCTGTATCCACGACCGTGAGCAGCAGAGATCTGTGGCGCTCGACCTCCTCAATCCCGTAGCCTAAAGGTAACCAGCTTGTCTCGTAATCTGACAACGCTGGTTGGAGCCTGCGTCGGGACCGGGCGACTCTCGAAGCATCCTTAGCCCACGTGCGACCGATGGTGCTTGCATGGCAGCATGGTGTCGGTACTGCGTAATGACATACTGCTGATGCTTTTCTTTTGCTTTCTTAAGCCGTCATGCGAATATCATAGCAACCCAGACTACCGACATCTTGTTCCAAAGCTTCGAGCCTACCAACCGGTGCGCTGAGGTCCCCGATGAGAACCACCATATACTTGCAATGATTCTTATGGAGTAGGTCGGAGAGTTGACGGTAGAACTCATCTTTAGCTGAGTCCGGGCTGCAACCCGTGGGAACATGCACTGTTGCGTCAAACAAACAGTGTTTGGTTACCTCGCGGCTGCACAATCGTATGGAGGCTTTTACTTAAATTGCACAGGATTAGTCGTTAATTAGAATCCAAACAAGTAGCGCTGCTTCTGCGCGCGCAGTAAACACAATTCGTACACCAGCCTAGTCCGCGGCTTCTTCACTTATGTCTCCCGATAAGTTTGGCGTGCATGTATTCTGCAAACGATCTGAGGATTACGTAAATTCATGTGCAAGTGTGTTGTCTGCACATGGAGCTTTTCAGTTACCCAGGTAGGAGAAGCGATTAACTATTCTGTAACCCGAGCCAACGCCTTAGTTCTTAAAGCCGTTACCAGCTAAGCTGTGAGGCGATTAACATATGTCACGAACCGTCGAGAGCCGATAACAAGAGTTTTGAGTGTCAACAAACTACCTATGGCACCGGAACAGTACGAGTATAGCAGTAAAGGGACCATGAACCGTTTCCTGAAGCATCCGACTCGTTGCTGATTGCGAACACAGTCGACAGCCAGGTGGCTCAAACACCTTCTTAATGGTCGATGGTAGTCCACACAGAAGCGAGTAGTAATCTAGGTTGTTCATCCACCCTCCGTTAGATACTTCATTCTGGTTAAAAAGTGGTTGGTCACTCACTCTATATCCGGAAACATTGGCTTTGTGGTATGTAATACATAACCAGATGGACAGCGTCGAACTTCCCACGCTCTGATATGCTGCGCTGATTGTTTGCGGAACAAGCGAGACTCATTCACACTTGCCCTCAGTAGGAAGGCATTCCTGTGGGAGCACGCGACGGCGTACAACGAGCCCGTAAGCCGCTCCCTGTGTAGACATCCCATTCTCAGCCTCGTCTTGCATCACTACTTCTCTACGCATAGCACATCATGGTATCACCGCAGCCTTAGTATACGCCTAACTGCGGTGTCACTATAATCTTTGGATTTTGTGGTTTACCCACTATCAACCTACGGGACTCGTTAAGCATTCATTTAATTGCCCATACCAAACAATGCTACTCTTCTGTAAACAATACTCAGTATAACTTTTACACGTTGCTTTGAGACGCACTGCGTGCTAGCCGTGGAAGAAGCAATAAGACAACTCATATGTCAGCTGCATTACCATCTTATTGTCCACGTTGATACGTCGCCCATCGCAATCGCAGGACGCCAGAAAGATTTCTGCGCTGGTATCATCTCACCAGTGCATGTGTCTTGTCTACCGGTGCACATGCGATTTGGCGGTGTGGCCAAAGTAACCTGTGGCCTACGCGCTTCAATGCGCCACCCGTATTGCGCCTAGTGCCCTGTGCGCGCCATGTGTTCACAGCACGCGATAGATCGTACTGTCAAGGGCCTGGGGTTTAGTTTAGTGACACGGATTGTCGGCCGTGTCAGAATGAGGGTAGCCAGTGACCCTATTCGATAACAGGCTTCGTTACAGTTGTGTTGTGAATCGCGCTCAAATTCCTTACCATACACTGACCCCGATTCCTCTTAGCCTGCCGTGGGTGACCTCAGATATTAACGTACTACGTCATGTAATCCGTCACCGCCCATGTGACAAGTCGCACACGAGCAACTCCGGGCTGTAGTGATTCCCCTACACCCACGTGCCCTATACATGCGTACACGTTGCTATGTCTACTATGCATTCGACATGTTATTGGCCGACAGCGCTTGGCTAAGGAACCAGCCACATGACGGTGCGCGCATGTCACAGTCGCCTGGCTCAAGTTAGTTCATCGGAAGGAGTAACCTGTTAGCGTACCAGATGAAGTTGATATCTGGTTAGCTTAAGTTGTTACCTGTATGGCCTAACATGACTCGGAAATGGTATGCAATGTGGTACTTTGAGTTAGAGCTTGTGAAAGCATGGCGAATAGGTACACCTCCTGTGGTGTATGACAAAGTGATACTGAGAAACGTCGTAAAAGTAAAAAGTGCACCAATTCGCGATTAGCGCGCTCGTTCGTTCGAGGTCGCATTGACGGTGAGAGTAGGCTCAGTCTTCCTTTGGAGTGCTAGTCAACGTTACGCAGCCACACCGCATTTATATTGACGCCAACACTGCGATCCGCATGTCGTGGTCCGTTATATTATACTAATTTGGCAATAATAGTTTATACGAACCCATTTGAAATTTGCAAGTGTGAGTTAATCACAAGGAACAGTGACATCTAATTTGCGCCTGTCCCGGCTTCAAGAGACGAACTACGCACTGTTAACTTTTAGTATGTGTGAATATACCATTATTTCTTTTATCACCCGTTACCGACCATTTTGTGCGAATTTTGAATACACATCTTTGAACGCGCTCGCGTCGTGCTGACTTCGTTTGGTGCTGTATGTGCTTAAGCTGTTGCTACGCCTTTCAAGCAGTCGGAGACATTGTTTCCAATTACCAGTCGGCATTCGAGAGACGGTAACTAAAGGAAGGACTATAACGCAAGTGTGTCTGCTTGTATTTCATACGCGAATTTTTGCTTAGGTTTGTATTTTGTCTTGAGACTCGAACTTTTTACGTAACAGTCCACTACATGTTGCTCACAACTTATGAGGTAAATGCAGCTCCTTGCTGCTTTGAGCGATTAAATACAGTTAACGTGTGCTGGTAATATAAGTGATAGGCCACAAACATGAAAGCCGGAGCCAACAAGGCGTAAATGGTGCATCCAGGCTATTTCAACCATATGCAATGAAGCTAGCCATCTGTTCTACTTTCATTCCACTCAGTTAAAAATAAGCCTGTGGTTTACGTTTTTGCTTGCTGATATTCTCTTGCAGACGGAATCAGATGACTACTTTCAGGTTCTTGAATTAAATGCTCCATTTCTTGTCTATTTTGCTTCAAGCAGCACAACGAAAGTGCGTTTTCCCGTTTTTCGCTCATGGGAGACGATACACATCATGTTCAGAAGATGGTTATTGTTCGACGACTCGTATTTATCGAGGTGAACAAACTGTTTGTGAACATCCAGGTAAGGCCTATCTGCAGAATATAATTGATTAGTTAGGGAATTCATCAGTTTCCACACATTAGGTGGCAGATGCCAATATATCAATTTGTCACCAACTCCACTATTATCTGTGACCAGTTTCCCTTTATAACGTTATCACAGAATGTTCTCAGCGATTTTACCGAATTTGCAGTTATTTCAACTACATACCATTAAGTGAATACCACTGTTACTTGTTGGGTTCACAGACGACGCCACTGGCATTTCACCTTCACACCCGGACTCACTACTTCTTAATTGGCGAGTGCAACTTATATTTCTGGGAACAATGCACTCATGTGCGATTCAGCGACGGAGGTACTACGCATTTTCTTAGCTACCATGTGGTATGTGTGTCAAAGGAAGCTGGCTGTGCTACAATGACATCATTCCAAATCACAATTTAGCTCACATCTGTTGGGAACACCGCGTGGGAAATGAGCGTGTTCGACACCTTGTTTACGGCACAGGAAAAGAAACTGAACCGCACAGCACCGTCATTTCACGCATCAGGCTCCGATGGCTCGGCCACTTGTTGCGTATGCCAATCCACCGGCTTCCGCGACGTGCGTTGTTTGCGCGCCGGGTGTGTGGATGGAAGAAGAGGAGGGGTGGCCAAGCGATGATTTGGTCGAGAGGAATGAAGGCCCTCACTTTTGAGCCGGCCTCGGTTCGAGCGTCTCGGCTCCCTGATTGGAGTCCGAAAGACGATGAACACGTTTGGCTGGATACACTTTTCTGATGTGGCTAGGAGCCAATCTTAATGGCGTCCGTGCTGTGAGCTTCTTCGTCCCACCCCACCCCTCTTAGCCTCCCCCTCCAACCAAGATCTCAATTCTTAGCTTCATATAAGTTTGCATAATAAATTTCTTTTGCTACATAGTAGCTGGCTGGTAGCTATCCGGAACGATACCCAACCGTTAATGGTAGCTCAGCTGGCATGCATCAGTTGCAGATTTTGTCTTTCTTTTTCTTTTATGTATTGCGGCACAGTAGCTGAGGTGTTTTCCACCTCTAGCTGACGTGTATAATGATGATAAATGATGATTCTGAATCATTCTAACTCATAGCGATTAATGTGTATTTTTTGCTAAACCCCTGAGCTACCCTGAATATTGCTATATCTGCTTGCTTATGGCTAAATCCGTAACACTTGATGGGGAATACAAGTTAAAAACCTACCTACTGAGGTTCCACTTTAGATTTAACGATGAGAAGGGTTCCCAGTTAGCCACAATATCTAAATCCGTGAGTTCCATACCTTATTCTTTGCGGTGTGATGAGACGTCCATATCAGCCGTCTTTGCTGCGAGTCACAGTTTCTTTGCTTGTTCGTTCACTGGTACACAAACCAAAGTCTGCTCGGGAAACGGCGTAACGCTTCTGTTTCGCATGTGTGATAAAAAACCCGTTCTATAATAAAGAAATCCGTTGTGCAGTGCATTGTTGCGGGAGAGCAACACCGAAGCACACAATTTCCGTTGAGGCCCCAGTGGTCAAAATGGCCGAGTGTGGTACAAATCAAACCATGATCCCAGGTGAAATCAGATGTCGCAATCATGATCCCCGGATAAGGCTCAGAAACGGGATGAGAACTCCGCTTGTTAAAACAGCAGTCTGTCTAAATACAAACTTCTACTTTTAAACTTGTCATGAACTTTTACCGAATGGTCTTATCATGGGCATTCTCCTGAGCATCCATGATGAGCAACTGGATTTTATCAACATGCGCAGCTGCCCATGTGACTGTTTTACCATGGGGAACTTTCGTGCGGTCTATTGTACTGGTTGGAAGCTTCGTCTACTCGTGAGGGCCCGTTGCTCAACACGAGGACTAAACTTCAAAATCATTGTACACTTAAGCGGACCATAAATGTAGAACTGTGTACCCAAGTTGCTAGTGTGAACTAGTACTTTGCACTGGGCGCCTATCTTGGATCCTTCATTAACGCCATCTTCAACGTCTGCCGACCGGGACTCCGTACATTAACACCACAATCTTACACAACCACCGGCCTTCGTATCAGTCCGAAAACGGGTACTCTGCAGCCTAGTGTCGCTCATTCAGCCGATCTCATCAGGCCACCCCACGCCTCATTGGTCGCACCCATTGTCGCAATTAGGAAATCGAATGGTAAAGTACGCGTCTGAGCAGATTTCTCAACTGGTCTTAAGGTTGCGCTCGGCGACCACCAGTACCCATTGTCATTACCGGAAGACCCGTACTCAAAGGTGAATGGCAGTAGGTGCTTTTCCAAGCTTGACCTGTCTGATGCATAACTACAGGTAGACTTTTCCGATGACTCGAAAATGCTATTGACGATCAACACCCATCATGAGCTGTACAGGTACAACCGCTTGCGTTTTGGTGTGAAAACATCTCCAACCATTTTCAACAGCTGATGGATATCATGCTGGCAGGAGTTCCTGGAGCTACCGCATATCTGGAGGAAATCATCGTATTGGGCCGAACAGCGGAAGAATTATTCAACCGCTTGGAGGAGTTGCTTGGTCTTATCTAGTCGCATGGTTTCCGCATTCGTAAAGACAAATGTGCTTTTTTCACTCCGACCATCAAATACCTTGGTTTTACTCCTCAGAAGAATGGCCGTCGACCAGGTCCAGCAAACATCGAAACCATAAGGAAGATGCCTCCACCAACCTAGGTTCAAACGTCGCATTCATTCTGTGGTTTCATCTGTCATCACAACACATATTTTACCTGAACTGCATCACTTGTGTGCTTCTGAACACTGACAACGTCTGAGACTAGACGCGACAGTACGTGTACCTTTAAACGAATCAGGTCATTACTGGCTTCATACTTGTTGCTGACTTAATACGATCCAACTAATAAGATCTTCTTCGCAGCAGACGCATCAAATCACGGGATCTAGGCAGTTATTTCGCATTTGTTCCTATTTGGATCCCAGAAAGCGAACGCTCACGCGGCCAGAAACTTGACAAAAACTGAGCGAAACTATAGCCAGATGGAAAAGAAAGCTTTAGCCGTAGTCTTCAGAATGAAGCAATTCTATACTTTACTATTGCTGTTCCACATAAAGAACTTGGAAGGCATCAGTGGTCCTACTCTGGCGTCCGCTTTCCACCAGATGTTCCAGGATGGAATTGTTGAGACGACTGACGATGCATTTCCGCAAAGCCGCTGAGCAGTGTTCCGCAATGCGTTTAGACCTGCCTAGTTGTGTGTCCCACGTACCTCGCACCGCAGGCGCAGGTAAACCGAGATAAGATGTAAGATTGGGACTGAACCGGAAGTCTGTCTTTAACGCGTTGGGTTATAAAGGGGACGGTTTCCGCAAGGACGTGTGGGCAGGCGGCCGGGAAGGTTCGAGCCACTGCACTGGAAATTCTTCTGGTCAACCGATCAAAGGCAACATCGCCTTTAAAGGGAACCGATAGGAATACTTCCTTTTTAAGGCGAATAGTAATCACTTCGCGGCTATTGCGGATCACTGCATTCTTTTTGATGAGTGGTGTCGGGTAACCGTTATCTTGCAGCGTTTTGAGCATAAGGATCTTTTCGGCCTCTAGCGTCTCTTGACTGCAACTTTTCGTACCACGAAAATACAAGCACCGAACAAGATTACGTTTGTAAGTAGTAGGGGGATTTGTTAGGTTTTCATGTAGGTCTGTCGCAGTTAGACACAGGCAGACAGCCACCACACATGCAGGAAAGCGCTAGACGGCCGTTTCTTCCTACTGGGACTCGTCAATAGCGTCCACCCGCAGAATCCTGCCGGATTCGGACCAACGACTTTACTCTTGCGAGTCAGCGACTTATGTCACTGAACCATGGACGACGGCAGCGGACCGTCATGACTGATATCTAACTGCGATTTAGCGCTGCTCATCCTCCACTGTTTTGCATATTATGAATGTGCAGATGACAGGGCTAGCCCCCAGAGCAAGGACTTCCTTTGCAAGCTGCTACCAATCTAGATGGCAAGTAAGCTGCTAAGGCGACTACTGCTTATTTGTAAGTAGTAGGGGGGCCAGCCCGCGGATGAGCCGCAGTTAGATATCAGTCATGACGGTCCGCTGCCGTCGCCCATGGTTCAGAAACTGTCCATTCATCAATCACCAGTGCACCGTCTGGCACAAGAAAGACCATAAAGAAACGCATCGGCGATCAACCACACGACGTCCACATCGTGGGTATCAATCAAATCATGTCAACAATGCGGAATCGAATTGAAGTCTAATGTAGTTTATGCAACTGCACAGAAAGGATTTCTTTCACTTCGTACGTTTATCATTGCCATTATTAATGGTCCCTCATTGCGCCCACCACATCTGTCATTACCATCATCTCCAGCCCGATATGGTCGGTTATCGGTAGACCGATACTGTGCACTGCGGAAAACGGCGCGAGGAGTGCATCGAACAGACTCCTATAGCTATATGCTAACTTTTTCCGTGAATATGTTTACGGAAACGATGAGCAAACCGGCGTCTGTCACGTTTTTGACAACCCGGGATTCAACATACTTGGTATTGCTTGGATAACCGCATTGAATCTGTGGAGTGTTCCTCTTGGCTCCGTGTGCGATCAAACCGAGGAAAGTCTATCCGGTCCGGAAATGTCATCACAGTGCTACGCAGCGCAGAATTTTACAAGCGCTGGCGATATGGAGAAGCAATTCGCAGAAGTGTTCAACCCCACACTTGGCTGTTGCACCAAGTTCACGGCATCTCTGTACCTAAAAGATGACGCAAAGTCTGTTTTTTGGCCCAAAAGCCCCGTGCTGTATGCGTCTCTTAAGTTAGCTGACGAAGAATTGGATCACGTGTAGTAATCGGGAGTGATTTCAAAAATAAATACTTAGACTGGGCAGCTCCCATAGTGATAGTGAAAAGGCAAACCGAACCATTCACCTGTGTGGCGATTGTTCAACCGGTCTGGACTCAGCACTGAATTTCCATCAATACTCGCTGCCACTACCGGAGGATCTTTTCAC